AAAATCACTGAAGCTCACTTTGAACTCTAACAGGACTCTCAAAGACCTCCATCCAGGTGGAAACGTTTTTTAGTTGCTCCAGCAACAATTGTGAAGCCTTTCCTCCGTGGCATTGAAAGCAAATTAAACTAAATGATATTTCTTCTGTTTCTCAAGTCAATCTGAAATTAGAAGAAGAGAAAAACATGAAGTTTAGCAAATTTGTGGAAGTGGATTCAACAAGGTGTACCAAAAATTGCCCTAAATGGGTACACCTTTCTAATGTGCATTCAAAGCAATTTCCAATTGAGTCTTGTACCAAGTCATTATTGTGAAAAAAAAAATTCTAAGGAACATTCTTTCCATCAATGCTAACAACAGTGACCTGTTTGTTGCAGTTTGGAAAATATTGCAAATTGAAATGGTAAAGTGACTTTTGGGACACCCTGTAAGTTTAACCTTACTGGAAAGTATTTCTAGGTACAGCCTTAGAAGAGCTATCCATCAACAAGGATTCTTCAATTCCATCTGTTTTTGTCTAGTTTGCTTAGATCTAATTTATGTGACTTCCAATCCTATCTTTGTTTTCTGTACTTGGTGCTAGGGTCAATTTGTAAATACAGTGGAACCTCGCTTAACGAACATAATTTGTTCCTGAATCTTACTCGTAATGTGAAACACTCGTTAAGCGAATCACTCTGACTGTATATATTCATGTACAGTCAAACCTTGCTTAACGAGCACCTCCCATAACGAGTGTTTCGCATTACGAGTAAGATTCAGGAACAAATTATGCTCGTTAAGCGAGGTTCCACTGTATTGTCATTCACATTTTGTTCCAGTGAAAGGGGATGCTCTTCTGTGTCATTTTCACTGATTGATTTATTTTATGTAGTTCAGCCAGAAATGTCTAGGCAGGTTTTATCTGCTGAATTACCTTTTTCTTGAATCAGGCACCCTACATCCATTTTTACTTTCAGCTGTGTAGGCTGGTTTTAAAGTCTAGACAATTTTCATTTTTTCTTGTGTTTAAATACAGGAGGAAATGGTAATCATGGCAATCCCAGCCAATAGTTAATACAGGATTTTTAATAGAAAATAAGAAATAAGCTTTAAATTGCAGGCACTGAAAAATAACTGAACAGAATTGCCTCACCTTTTTATTTTATTGGGTTCACACCTGCAGATGCGACAGGTCTCCCAGGCTCTTGACATTCTGTAAGCTGCCTGTTCCCTCAAACCCATGTGAGAGCTTTTACAGCATGTGGCTTGCAGGGACCATTGCAAAAGCCCATTTCTGGTGGGCCCATATAGCATCTGTCATGAATAGTCAATGATCCAATGCAACACATTTCTGTGCTTTGGTCAGAAAAAGTATCATGTCTATTGCCTGGCTCTGGCTATATCTTACATAGAGATTCTGGGGGACAGGCAGTCTTCAGGATATTAAGAGGCCTGAGCTACCTATCATGCCAACAGACATGGACCCAACACCATCCAGAAATAAAATCCCATGCTGTCAGGCATTATCATGCAAAAATGAGATGATTCAGTCATTCCAATGTAAAGTTTACCCTTTTTTTTATAACATCCCTGGAAATGCACGTGCTTTTGTTATTGTGCATGTGTTATTGGGCTCTTAATGGTTACCAGCATTTAAATCATTAAACAGTTACACCATGTGCAAGAGGTCAAGTGCAAGGACAGCTACAGAAACAGGTGCAGCTAGAGAATGGCCAAGCAATGAGACAGCAGTACTCATACTTTAACGGATCTCTCTAGGTAGTGTTAGGTTTAGCCTAACTAGATGTCATATATGCCTGCACTAGTTAGGCCTAATTGCACCCTTCAGTTGCACTGTCAAGGACAAAAATTATACTCCTACAAATCTGCCTCTAATTGATCTGATAAATGATTTAGTCTTAGCCTTTACTTTTCATGGAAAGCGTTTAAATCTAAAAAAAAAAAACAGCATTAAGCCTACATATATCAGGTCATCCCATAAGTAATGTTTTTTTCTCTGTTTTTCAAAATTAAAATACACCTGCATCGCATGAAGTTTCAATCAAGTATATATTCCCCTTCGTTCTCTATGACTCTCTGCCACTTTTCTACAAGCATTTCAATTCCATGTTTATAAAATTCCTTTGGCTTTGAAGCAAAAAATGCTGACAGGTCGCTTTTGATAGCCCCCAAACTTTCAAATTCTTTTCCGTTGAGATAGTTTTGTAGACTTCTGAATAGGTGGTAATTGGAGGGTGCAACGTCTGGTGAATACGGTGGATGTGGAATTTTTTCCAACCCAGCTCTTCGATTTTGGCACACGTGATCCGAGCGGTATGAGGACGCGCGTTGTCCTGATGAAACAAAACACCCTTGCAATTGGCCAATGAAGGACGTTTTACCTGCAGTGCAGCACTCAAACTTTGGAGCTGCCGGCAGCATACCTCCGCTGTCATGGTTTCATCGGGCTGCAACAGTTCAAAATAAACAACACCAAGAATATCCCACCAAACGCACAGCAAAACCTTCCTGGGGTGAAGACCTCTTCTTGCCTGTGGTACAGCAGGTTCCCCAGCACTAGCCCACTGTCGACGATGTTTAACATTGTGATAAAGCACCCATTTTTCATCCCCAGTAATGAGTCTATTCAAAAATGGCGCTTGAAGTGCACGAGAGTATAGGGAAGAGCAAATGTTTACTCGATCCCTAAGATCGTCTGGTGGCAACACATATGGAACCCACTTTCCAAGTTTTGACACTTTTCCTAGCCGTCGCAAGTGGCGGTGAACGGTGGAATGGGTGGAATTGAGCTTCTGAGCAAGTTCTTCAACAGTTACAGCAGGATCTTCATCAAGTGTAGCCACCAGCAGTTCATCATCAAACTCAATAGGTCGGCCTGAACGTGCTTCATCAGTTAAGCTGTAGTCACCAGACCTGAATTTCTGGAACCACCTTTGGCATTTCCTCGTATTCAGAGCTTCCTCACCATAAACATCTCGAATGTTTTTCGTGGCTGCAGTCGCGTTATTCCCTTTCTTAAATTCATAAAGCATTATATGCTTAATGTGTTCTTCTGACATCCATCTTATCTTTAGTGTCCAAGAAAAACGGAGCACTGTTACCTCGTGAAAACCTGCACGTATTGACAACTAATCCCTGCACAAGTTAGCATAGAAATATTCCATGGGATGCTTGCAGATACATGTATAAAGAAGACACAAGTAAGGCTATGCCAGAAAAACGACATTACTTATGGGATGACCTGATATTATTACACATAGTATATATGGCTCTAATTCTTAAGCAATTCGGTTCACATTTGAAACAAAGCATGTATAGACTACACCTAACGATTTTACAATGCTTGGCCTGAATTGCTCAACCGGAACCGGAAATACATGAAAATGACACCTCCAAAAGTGTCTCAATATGAAATCATGGCCTGCTGCTGCCCCACTAATACTTCGTTTTGCTTCCTTTCGAGATGAGATCGTACACACGGTCTCTCATGGATCCGATGAGGGTCTTGAGACGATCGGCGCTCACTTCCTCCCAGGTCTCGAAAACCGCGTCTTGGATTTCAGCGACAGTTGCGAACTGGCGGCCTTTCGCATAAACGAAGCGGACGAGGTCTCCCCAAAGGTTCTCCATGGGGCTCAAATCGGGGCTAAAAGCGGGCCATTCAAGAAGAGTCACTACTTTTTCTGAAAAGAAGCTCCGGCTGGACTTTGAGACATGGAACCTTGCATTGTCTTGTTGGAATATCCAGTTTTCGCCTCCGATCCGCTCCCCAACCACTTCCAACTGAAGTCCTACGAGTTCCTGGTACTTATTCGAGTTGTTGCGACCGTTGATGATCACGATGATGATCAGTCTTCCCGCCGTATCCGAAGGCTCCAAACTGTCAGAGACCCGTCGCCGGAGACTCCTTGAGTCCTTCCTAAGACTCCCCTCATCGCGCGCTTCACTAGAGCAGCCATACCAGAATTGAGGTGGGAATTGCTCCCGCATCCGCCCTACTCGCCAGATCTGGCTCCCAGTGACAACAACCTCTTCGACTAGATGAAGAAGCCTCTGCGGGGATTGCGTTTCGATTCCTCAATGCAATGAAAGCTGCACTTAACAGGTGGATCAGAAACACTCCATAAATTTTTTTTTGAAGGTCTAAGGAAACTGATTCCACGCTTGAGGAAGTGCGTCGAATGTTGTTGAAAAGTCACAGTATCATGATGATGAATGAAGAAGTTACCCAAAAATTATTAAAGAAATTCCCAGAACTTTCTGAATGTCCCTCGTACTACGGTCGTTGGAGTCGCCGGAGAACTGCGGGCTTGGTTTCAATATGAGGTCACGTATCAGAGTTATACAGGGTGAGCCAAAAAAAAAAACAAAGCTTTCATTTTTGGTAAGCTGTCAATTTGCTTGTATGCAACCGATTTTTATTACATTTGGTGTACACATGGGGTGACTCAATTAGAGTTTGTATGCCAAGTTTCAAATAAAAATTCCAAAAAATTGTGGGATTGGCATTTAATTTACATCATCAATTTTTTGGAAATTTTAAAGAATTTTAAAGCTGAAATATAAAATGGACACTCATTTTATATTTCAGCTTTAAAATTCTCATAACTGACAGAACAAACAAGCAAACAAGCAGAACAAAAACAGATGCACAAATGCCAAACACGAAAGCACACAATTTGGTTTAGGGACGTACATTTCAACTGAAAAGGTGCTCAATGTGCTGTTGAACGCAAGCCTGTAGTCTGGGACACCACAGATTAATGGCTTGGTCAAAAAACCTTTGAGGCAGTGCTTCCCAGTCTTCCTTTGTAGCATCACCATTTTGAAGCCTGGTGGCTGAAATTTGGCATACAAACTCATTGTATGCCAAATTTCATCAATTTTTTTTTACAATCATGAACATGGATAGGCCTTATGAGAAGATATAACTATGTGCAGCAGTTTTATTCATCGTCACTAAGATGAAAATGAAAGAAAAATCACTCATTCTTCACCCATTTTTGGACAAACACAACTACATTCAAGCCCATTTTGGCGATGCCCAACTCAATATAGTTGAAACTAGGGCTGTCACGATAGCAGTTTTCAAAACATCGATGCATCGGGGGAGGGGGGCTTAGGA